ATTAAAAAGGCATGAACATTTTTTTGTATCGAAAAAATATCGAACTGTGAAACCAAAGTATCGAACAGAACCGTGAATTTTGTGTATCGTTGCACCCCTAGTATATACACATACACCCCACATCATTAGAAGAAAATATCAGTCAGTCAGTGGTGAAAAGGATCCTCAGTCACAGCTTATTTACTGAGACTCAGATTGTGGTGTTTCATGGAGTATAACCAGACGAGTCAGAGTCCTGTTGGCGTCACCACAGTTTGTCTGCAGTACATATAGTGTTTAATCAACTGTGCATATACTTGTGACTGTGTGTGTGGTTGAAAAGCCCCGGTTGCTTCATGCCCTTGTCCTCCTGCCTCGCTGAAGCGGATGTCCTGGTGGGTCAAAATTGGAGGGCGCCGCTGCCTCATGTTAGGATCACCAGATGGCCTCTCTTCCTGGGCATGACGTGCCAGATACATCCTTGGAAAATGAACTTTCTAAGCACTGTGGCGACCTAAAAGCTGGACTGTCAAACGTACGAGGGAGAAGGAGCGTCTGTCTTTATCTGGACAGGAAAAACTACAGGGCAGTGCTTCATAGAGAAGTGCAGCTGCTTCCTCAAACCTCTTTGGCTGCCGTGAAGTTGGGGAAAGAAAACATCGCTGAATAATTTACTCTGCATTGGCGCTGGATAGAGTGCAACACAGGGAGAAGGACGCTGGATTTCACTTTTATTTAGGCGTAGGGCTTAGCGTAATCCTGCTGGATTTCTTTCATCAAAAAACTCATTTCTCTAAGGACATAATTTCATTTCTCCTCATCAGTCAGTCAGTGTGATTTGTCTTTTTGCAGACTTAATAATCTGCCCATTTAGATCTCATTTGCCTCTGCATGACCCAGTGCTCACACAGACAAATTTTCCTCCTCTGATTTCTGTCGTCTTCTCCTGCGAATACACGAGCACACTTAATGGTTATTCTCAAGATGTTTCACACTAAACCCTGGCAATCTAATAGCATCATCTTTGCAGGGAGTGTTTGTTTTTCCTCCAGATAAATATCAAGGAAGCACATCAAAGCCTGTGTGTGTGCTCATAACGGAAGATCAGCAAATTACACACTTACTGTACTGCAGGGTCTGTTGAAAGCTGTGGACTGCAGTCTGACTTCTGATGACGGATGTAGGATTAACTAGGAATGGTGCGCTTCCCTGCAGAATAAACCTTTATTCCACTTTTTTGCGACTGGAATTAGGGCTGCTCGATTATGGCAAAAATGATAATCACGA